TTATTAAAATAAACTGTCAAATCATATATAAATATGTTGTTTATTTCACTACCGAATGGGCTCAAACACAAAATACATATCATAATTTAAAGCTCAATAGCATTTGAGGAGAATGACTTACAGTAACACAACCAACTGTCACATGATCATGTAGGTCTCAGTTATAATGCACACCTTTTAGATTTTTGATATTTATTCAAATAAACGGTAAATTCATATCTACACTGTAAAAAAAACTTCCTGTAGAAATTACAGTAACTAACTGGCAGCAGTTCGCTCGTAACTTACTGTAATTTTATTTTGTAGCAAAAAAATGTATTTTATTTTACCGTGTCATTTAACTTGCTGTAAATGTATTTGCAGCGTAATATTGTTTAACTGTAAAATATTTTATTATTGTATTCATTTTTTGGTCCTTTCTTGAGTAATGCATTTTAAAACAATAGAAAACATACTGTTATACTGTAAAGTTCACTGTAATTGGTTTGCTTCACTTTTCAGTTACTGTAAAACTATATGCACAAATTGTAAAATTAGCAGTTCCATTAAATAACAATGGAAAAAAAACAATGACCACTGTGTAACTTCATATTTTTAATTTTTAATTTATACACACATTTATTTATTTATTTGCGTATTTATTTATTTATACACACATTTATTTATTTGTGTATTTATTCATTTTAAATTTCTGCAGGTTTGGTCCTCCATAGGTCAGAGGGTGAGTGAATTAACAGCAAATGTACATTTTGGGGTGAACTGTCCCTTTAAAACAAGTTTCAGAAGCCGTGGTCAAAATGACAGATGCTTTCAGACTGATAGAAACATAACAAAAAATTGTGCTGGGTTAGTTGAATACTTTAGCAACAATCCACTGTAACAAACAAAACTTGAGATTTTATCAAATGTTAATATAGTGTTTTATTAAAAAAAATAGGTCCAGAAGATGTCGCCAAATAGCTGTTTAGAGGACTGCCAAAGAAAATCCCTCTCAGATTCAGAAAATAGAAACTATTAAACAAACCCCACAAGTCTACTATGTAAATGTAACTGAATTTGATTGGAACAATCATAGTTGGATATTTAAATTAATAATCAGCTATTAAGATTAGGCCTAAATGAAATGAATTAGTCCTGACTGCAGATTCTGATATTATTTTAAAGAAACCTAACTGCTGTATATTGTGTTATTCTGTACTATGAAAATGTTCATGTGTAATGTATGATTAGCCAGCAGCTTTTGTGATGTCTGAGTATTCAGTTAAAGACCACAACATCATTGAAGATTAATATATACTGGGTAACATATTTGTGGGGATGCTGATGTGGTGAGACATCTGCTGCATCTGGTTCTCTTGCCCAGATTACAGACTACAAATGTAACTTCTAAAAGTTAAAGACAAAATAGCATCATCTAAATTTTGATATGCTACTATGAAGTATCCACTACATATATATCTCTAAAAAAATCACCTGTGCTCCAGTTGAAAACATGTTCCAGAGTGTTTAAAACGGGGAAATATTCATTCACTTCTCATCCACTCTGTGGTTTCACAGATTAAAGGTTTGAGATGATTATTATCCACCAGCGGTTTCTGCCACTGTACTTTTGAAATGGGAAAACAAAAATATTTGTTTGATGGGGAGGGACCTTCTTGGAATAAATTAAGACGTGAACACTTTAATAACAAGTGATGTAACACGAGTTTATTTAGAAGAATGACACACTATGGGCTACTCCTATAATTTAGGTAAGTCTTCTTATTGACTATATTTTTGAAAATAATAAGGACATGCCCTAGTATTTTCAACAATCAGTGTTTTGTGTGTTCATCGTGATTAAAGGTGTTCACTGATTTTTTTTCAGAATCTTTTTTTT